ATATTTACCACAAATTAAAGGTATCTTGTATTATTAGATATATTATTATAAAATATGCTTTGGTTAAGGAGTTATTGATACTTCAAGTGCAAAATGATGATATAAAACCATGATAAAAATGCATTATTATAAAACATGCTTTGGTTAAGGAGTTATTGATACTTCAAGTGCAAAATGATGATATAAAACCATGATAAAAATGCACTTTTAAGTACTAATCAGGTGGAAATGCCACACTCACCAAAACATTTATAGAATGATATTGTCCGTTGGCATTTAACTGGAGTCAAAAAATATTTACTGAATATGCCACTATCATTAACGGATACATTCCATCGGTATATTTCAAGTTGGAATTTGTTTTTTTAGCGCATAATTTTTGTTTGTAAAACCATCAATAATATGTTTTTATTTACCAACAAACTTAGCAATGGAATCCAATATTACTGACGAATGGTAAGTTGATGGATGTTTTCCGTTAGTGATATCGTCGGTAAAACAATTACCGATGAACTCTAAATCATATACCAATGAAATAATTTCATTGATAAGACTATGAAATCTTGTAGTGTTATGAATTCACTAAAAAAATTATTTTGCAGGTATTTGGCTTTTACATGCATCACTTATCACCTTCGTTGATTATAAAGAATGGATAAAATAGTAAAAAAGTTTGATAAACTTATTATTCACCTATCCAAATAATTTTATTTGTAAGTATTTTGAATTTAAAATTATAATAATCATTAGATGTTTTGGGTTCTGTATTTGTATCTAGGTCATGATTGTGTAATTCAATTTATTTTTTGATTGAGAAAAAAATATTAATTTGAAATTAATTGTTAGAATTTACTATAAAGCAACATAAGTATTAATTTATAAATAAAAACTTATAATAGGGATAAAGCCTGAAGCATTGATAGGCATTGCCTATCATATTTCTTGAAACATGATGATATTCTAATCTAGTTTTTTTTTTTTTTAAATTGTAGTGTCATTAACTATTCCTTTTTTTTATTATGAATAATTAACTATTCCTTGTGGAACACAATTCTCGTCCATAAGCTAAAACTTAACAATACAAAAAATATAAACAAATAAGTAAAAAATTACAGAACAGAAATAAATAAGGATCAACTGAAAGTGGGCTGAACCTACAAGATTAGATCACGAGGTCCAAGCTTGGTATGTAAACAGCTTCACTAGGCCTTGGATCCCACTAGTCTGGGCTCTCTGATAATCGAACCACATTCTTTATTAAAAGTTTGTCTATAGATGCATTGCAAACCACCACTATTTTTTAAAATTTTTATTTTTTTGGTTAAAAATTATTTTCTATATTTTTAAATCATCAAAAATATTTTTAAAAAAATAAAAATTTTATTTTAATATATTTTTTTATAAAAAATATGTTGAATTGCAACTAGTACTATAATCTCAAAAACAATATTAAGTATGATTAGCTTCTTTTAAAAAAAAAATGATTAATGTTTTATTGGTTTCTTTTTGTGAAAAATATAATAATACCTATGAATATGTTTACATGTAACTTTGAGATCTTCACACCATCTTTTTTTTAAGGGTGGACAAAGACATTTTGTTTTTTCTTTTTTATAATAGGATAAAGTTATTAAATCCAGTTAAAATAATAGATGGGATGAAATAATAAGATTAATCTAAACAAAATTTCATTTTAATAAATTTTTTTAAACAAAAGTTTTTAAAATATGTTTTTTTTTAAATAGATTTTAACCAAGATTGTCGATGAAATCATCAAATCGTTTAGGTTTAATTGAATTAACTTCTATTAATATTTTTTAAAATAAACTTATCAAGTAATTTAAATTTAATTAGATGAATTTTTATTTAATTATGTCTTGCAAGCCGGCTCAAGCCAAGTGGACCGGCTGCTAGCTAGGATGAAATTGCTTTGAGAAAATGAACGAAAATGGATTAATTAAACCTGAATAGAGGTTCACAAAATCCCATCACAACGTCCCTGCGCACTACACATTGTTAAGATAGGCAGAGCTTTGAATTCTAGACAACATACACAAACTTCAGAGGTAGAATCTTCAGATTTGGATAGTCACGAGTGGCTAAAAAGTAAAAAACAAAGAAAATTTCTTTCGAAGAACAAATTTAGCCTCAAGAAATTAACCTGACCGATTTTCCAACAGTTCTAAATGTCAAGATCTTGCTGAGATCATCTTCGTATCACCACCATATTATCTCTTACAGCAGCTGCTAATCTTGTGACTAATAAAGCCAAAAACAAATTGAACACTTGAAGGACACGAGACAACTCGTCTAAAAATGTCCATCAATTGTCTTGTTAACTAGTTAATCTTCTCATTACCAATTAAAAATGTTGTCGAGTGAACTAATTATGTCTTCACATCAATCCTTCATTTGATTGAAATTTTACTATCCTAATCTTGCAGGGTAAAATATTTGCTTATTTTTAATGATAAAGTCCAAACAAGTAATTTCTGTAGGGCCATTATAATTTTTTTTAGTTGATTCACGTTTTTAGAGGTTGAAATTTATTGTTTTTTTTTACAAGAATTTGGTATAAAAATTAAATTTTTTATTAATCCATAACCTGATTTAGATAAGTTCATGGTCTTTAATACATGTCGTAACAAAAAAAAACGTGTTACTATAGTATCTTGTGTTTGTTTTATTTTAATTAGAAGAAGTGATAGAGATAATATGGTTTTTATTATATATGATTATTTTATATAATGAAGATTTTGATATCATAACTTTTTTAATTTTAATTTAAAAGTTTAAATTGTAAAACAAGGTTCTAAAATTGTTTTTACATCAACTCTTTGTAAAATTTAATCACTCGATCAAATTGCCTTTCTTTAAGCAAATTGCCATTTGCAGAGAAGGGAACATTTCATCAAACTTTCTACTACATCTTGAACACACAATAGCTAGTTTATTGCATCACTTTTCTATAAAACTTGCAAACAGGACATGTTTGTTTAATTTTTCTGAACTCCACAAAACTAATAAAATCAAATTCAGTACAATATTAGTCCCATAAAGACACATATGATGATGATGCTCCAGCCAATTATGTCTCTAGCTAATGAATCCCATGATGTCCCCTTCCTTTTCTTTTTCTCGAGGAGACCGGAAGAGGCGGGATGCTCTGCTCATGCCTGAAGAAGTTGTCAGGATCAACTTTGGTCTTCACTTGTATCAGCCTGTTGAAGTTATCCTTGAAGTACTTGGCGCCCCAAACACTAGCTTCAATAAAGCTTGTGTTGCTCTTCTTGTTAATCCCCAAATCAAGGTCCCTGTAATTGACATAGGCTTGCCTTGGAAACATGGAAACATAAGGCGCCATGTAATTGTAAAGCCTCCTGATCCAATCTATATGCTTTGAAGCATCCTCTGCAGCATCTTGCCACATGGTCAAGTACTGAATTTTGAAAAGGATACCTTTTCTATGTGGGAAAGGAATTGATGACTCTGAAATTTTGCTCATCATTCCACCATAAGGATTCCATATCATGAAAGGAGTCGCTTCTTCAAAATACCTTTCCCATATCCCCTCGAGTGCTGTTTCGGGTATGGGTTCTGTGACAAAATCTGACTTGGCTTTGAAGTAGTTCTTGAATGTTGACTTGCCTTGAAGCAAAACTTCAGGAGGAGTATTGGCTGGGTAGCCTGCGATGTATAGCACAGATTTCAGCCAGGTGGTTTCGGTGCAATCCTTCAGCGTCAAACCCAATTCAGGGAAGCCTTGCTCCATGACATTGAGTAGTCTTTTGGCATCACCTAGAAACAAGGCATTATAGGAAGTTGTGACAGTTCTTTTACCCTTTGTGGCACCATCAGCTGCTTGAATTATAACCCTGATGAAGAGATCCTCGTCAAGTTTATCAGCAACTTGCTGCCATCGGTAGAGAAGCTTAGTGCCACCTTGTTCCAAGGTCTTAGTAACTGTAAAAACAGTCACAGTTGATGGCACAGGAACCAGTTTTACTTTCCAGGCAGTAATGATACCAAAGCTGGCTCCCCCACCACCTCTAATAGCCCAAAAAAGATCCTCTCCCATGGTTTGTCTTTCAAGAACCCTGCCACTAGCATCAATTATCCGAGCATCAATAACATTGTCAGCACCAAGGCCATACTTTCTCATCATGGAACCGTAGGCACCTCCTGTAATGTGCCCACCAATGCCTAAACTGCTGCAAAGGCCACCTGGGAAGCCATGAGCTTCGCTTTTTTCTGCAATTCTGTAGTAAAGCTCACCGATCGTTGCTCCTGCCTGAACCCATGCACTATTATCTTCAATGTCAACTTGGACAGCTCGAAGCTTGGCTAGGTCTACAACAATGAATTGTGTTTCAATTTCAGAGGCATAAGAGAGACCCTCATAGTCATGGCCTCCACTGCGGACTCTAAGGTGAATTCCAAGCTGCTTACAGCATATAACAGCTGCTTGGACATGGGCTTCATACAGAGGAGTGAAAATAAACTCAGGTTTTGGCACCGAAGGCAACAAGTACCTCAGGTTTTGAGCGGTAGACTCCAAAACAGCATTGAATGAAGAACTATTGTCTGGGGTGTAGAAATCTGAGGCAGGAATGAAAATTTCTGAATTTTGTGAGAGACACTGGACAAAACTATCTTTAATTGGAAGTGAAAATGTCAGTCCAGGAGATAGCAGCAGGACTACAAAGATTGAAAGAATGGAACACCTTGAAGGAACCATTTTCCCTGCTTCTTTTTTTTTTCCTTGCTGTTTAGCAGCTAAACTTGAGCTAAGCCCGTGTTCCAAAACCAGGTCACAAGACTTCTCTTATAGAGGGAGGGCCTGCAGTGTTGATGACACCATGGTTGATCTAATCCTAACGTCACGTTAACGAAGTTTGCATTAGATGATCAAGAGTCTATTAATTAAATCTAAGGTTCAACCCTGTGTGGTCCCTTAATTTTCCAAAATTGTTTAAATCAGTCCCTACTCTATCTTTAGGCGTGCCAACAGCCCTCAAAGTTTGAATCTATCTGGTCACATGTAGCCCTTTCATCCTCTTGAATCTACGAATAGAAAGTATGAAGGTTGTCTTGCTTAAAATTGAAGTATAGGGGTTATTCCAACAAATTTTGTAAACTTGAAGGACCAAGCAAATGAATTTACCTTAAGATTTAATGTGGTGGAAATCAAACAATGAATGTTCACAAGGATTTTTATGATATTGTCAACTACCGACTTGTAAGTCTACCTAAATTAAAGGTGCTTGTCATATTTTCTGCTTTTGTTATGAAAAATTTATGAGTTAGGGTATCCGTACTTACATAATAAAAGAGAGATAAACACAAGGATAACAATAAATATATAATTTTTTTTGTCCTGTTCTTTTCTTTTTCTTTTTCTTTTTTCTCTTCGATACATTTACTATATTGATGCAAGCCACAGTATACATACATATATATATAAAAGAGATTTTCTAATTGATAAATTAATAATTAAGATTTCAATATTAATGTGAATGAAATATGCCCATGTTTGATTTTAGTTTATGCATCATAGGATTCAACTTCTCAAGAAAAGTCGAGCAATTTAATTAATTAGTCTTCATTTTTATTTTTATTTTTATTTTTATAGTAATTATTGGTATATCTACAAGTAGTTGTACTTTAGAATAACCATTTCTGATAATTTTAACCCAATTAACAATTAGTAAATTGGCCTTTTACCTATGCTATATAGGGACTATTTAGCTTCCAATATGCTTTATATATATATTGCTCCATAGTAAAAATTCAGATTCCCTCTTTTTTGTTATTAAACCAAATTTAATTTTTAAAAAGAAAATACAGTGAAAATAATAATAAAAATCAACATTTCATTTAATAAATTTTTTTGATATAAAATTTTGAAAAAAAATTTAAGTGGAACTTTTAATGAATTAAATTAACAAAATCTAAAAGAGATAAAAAATTTATCAAAGATTAAGACACAAAATATTATGGATTGAAATGTTTTAATAAAAAATATTTCACTTGAATTATTAATAATTATTAAATTTATATTGATATTTATATATTTTCTTGGTATAATTAAAATTATTTAATACCCCTTAAAAGAAAAAATTAAAAATTAAATTGACGGGGCCCTTTCAAGTTAACAGGGGAACAATTTGGTCTTTTGGAACAAATATGAAATATTACTTAATAAAGAAAAGTAGTTGTACATGCAACATGGGCCTAACAGTAGCTTGCAGGGCATTATTCGAATTATTTTGACAACCCCTCTAATCCTATAGCAACACCGACACGTGTGGCTAATGGATTTCTAGCTTGTCATTGTTGATTTTTTTACCTCTTTTTCTCTCCCTCTCGATCTCTGTTCCTGCCCTTGTAATATTTTTAGGCAACCTTTTAATTTATTTATTTTTATATTTAGTATTTATGTTTTTTTATTATTATCTATTTTATTTGAAATTATTTATATAATTATTATTTTTTTAATTTTATACTTCTTTAATTTTTTTTTCATTTATTATATTTTATCCTTATTCTTTTTATTATTACTTGTTATATTTGAAATAATTTATAAAATTAAATTTGGTTTTTAATTTTATTATTTTATTATTTTTATTGTTATTTTTATATATTTTATTCTTATCTTAATTTATTTTATTTAATAATTTTATTTTCATTATTTTATTTTATTTTATTTTTATATCATAGTTCACACTTTTTAAATTGCTATTTTTAATTTTTTTTATTATTTTATTTATTTATTTTATTTTTTAATTTCAGCTTTATTTTTTTTCTTAATTTTATATGATTTGAAATCTTGTTTTATGAATTTTTTGTATGTGTTTTTTTTCTATAAGGCATAAACCATACTCATTATACAGGGATTTCTAAAATTAGTCTAATTTAACTTTAATTTTGTTAGTTTTTTCTAAATTTTTAATTTTATTTTTTATTATTGGATTATTTGACCTTTAACTTTGTATTTTTTTTATTTTACTTTTCATTAAGTTATTTTGTTTTCATATTACATATTATAAATTAAACTGGTTAACTCCAGTATTTTTAAAGATTTTTAATCCAATTTGTTATTTTATTTTTTGTTATTTAATTTGATTATGAGTTGAATTTCACTATTTTATTTAATTTTTTTGTAAAAAGTTATTCTAACCTCACAATCAAGGCAATCAAGTAGTGAATTTAACATATTAACTTAAATTAATTTTTTTTAATTCTTCTTTTAATATTTAATTTACTGATTACTGAGTATGTTATTTTCCCGCACTAAGGAAGCTTTAGCCCGACCCGTGCAGACAACAAGTTGTGAACTACGTAGAGAATGCAAAAGCAAGAAACAATATGTGACCATGTCAAGATTTCTTCTTGATCTCCCGACCATCAATCATAATTAATTAGGATCAATCAATCACAATCAACCATCAACTAGAATTCACCACGATTGATCGACTATGATTATCAAGTGCAACCTACTTGAATTATATTGATAAATCACAATTTCTTTTATTATATAAATAGCTTCACGTATTATTTTAATAAATATGATTAAATTCATAATTTTCTCAACAATTGCATGTACGTTGAAGCTTGAAAACTTCTAATTCTATCTTTTTTATTACACTTCTTATTTTCCATCAACAAGTCTCAATCATTCATATTCCATACCATGTTAAAGAGAAACAGCACATGTCTTTTTAATAATGCGGATACCTTTCTCATTTGCTAGGAAAAAAAAACCAAAAATAAATATTGTAAAAAAAAATAAATTTTTTTTATATATAATAATTTTCCCATACTATATAACTTTTATTATAATTACCTAGTTAAAATTAAGATCAGGTTCTTTGCCAATTGATAGCTGAGAAATACACAACAGAAATAAATTTGTTCAGACCCAGAGTAATTATGTTTTCAATCTTTTCTTGCACATCTCAACTAGTTATTGCTTCAAGTTGTTTTAAACACGTTTAGTCTTTGAAGAACAAGAAGCAACTCATCCTATTGTTGCTGTCAATCGTAAATATTTGTGGCTTCAAGCAATCAGTTTTTTTAATCAATACTCTTAACAGTTGTGGTGGTGAAGAATTGACCTCTCACCATGTTCCATTTGCAATTTGAACTATGAGCACGAAAGTGTGGAGTGAAGTGAGCTTCTTGTGTTCAATGTAGAGTACTACATCTAATTCAATAGTGGTCTAGAACTGGAAATATATATATGTGTGTATATATATATATAATCAATAAATTATACCCAAAAATTGCTTAAAAAACATTGAATTCTATTCTTCCATTACAACACTAGTAGTCCTCGATAGAAAATCAAAGTTGAAATCTCAAAAAATCCAATATTTCCAAGTTGAATTTTTGTTTTTAATTTTCTCTTAATCCTGAAGTATTATAGAAAATAAAATTGAAAAAACTTGTTTTAAACCCTGCTAATTCTCAATATACAGATTATAATATATTTTTTCTTCCAATCAAAAACTAATTTTTTTAAAGACTCAATTGTCAATCATTTTATTTACATCAGGAAATTTTTTGGTATAATTCAACTATTTTTTAAAATATTTTTAAATTATTTAAATATATTAATGTCAAAAACAAATAAAAAATATAAAAATATTATTTTAATATATTTTTAATTAAAATTATTTTTATAAAATTATTTTACAGTTAAACATGTTAAAAAATAAAAAATTATTAAAAAAATACAAAGAAAAAGAAAATAGAAATATCATCGAAAAAGCAAGAGAGAGAGAGAGAGAGAGAAAGGTGTCAATTAGGAAAGCAAACCATCACAGAAAAATGAAGTGGGGGCTACCTGAACCATGTGGGTCTGGTCCTCTGATTGCATATTTATAGATAATAAGAATATCTGATCTATAATAATTTCTTAGATTTTGGATAAGAGAAACTTTAATTAAAGAAGAATTGTCCCCATATAACTTTTATTTTAAAATAAATTTAAGAATTATATAAAATGCATTTTTATTTTATATTTTTTTTCTTAGTATTTGGAAAGAAGACCCTGGATAGATATGCATACAAAAGCACTAACAGGGCTCAATTATGTCCTACTAGTCTCGAAAACAAATGTCCATTTCAAATAATTAAAGTGGATATGACCATGATTCACGTGGATTTATTTTGGCTAATAATGTTGAATGAATACCGTACCTCTACTTTACATATTTAGTCAACTCAAGCCTTTATCTTTTATCCTTTTCAAATCCATCCCTATAATTTCAATTAATGACTTCTGCCCACGATTTAACTTCGTTAAAAGAGGTGGGCTGCGCTTGAATAAACATAAACATACATTTAATGGTGATACGTATCTATAATTATAATTGAGATTTGAATTCCTTCTTCGTTATAAAGAAGCCTAATAAATTAGGGGTTAAATTGCATGGTTACAATACTTTTTTAAAGCATGGATTTGATTAATAATTAGATAATTACTTTTGTTATGTGTTACATCTTGAACTCTGGAAAAGATGGGTCTAAAAGAGAATATATTTTAGAAAATTTCCCTTCTCCACCCACAAAAGATATTATATAAAAATTTTATAGTGAGTTTGCCCATGCTAGGCACCACGTCAACCTTACGTAGTATATATATTTTTCTTCATCATCTTATTATTATTATTATTATTATTATTATTTATTTTGTGGTTTTAGTAATATCAAGATATCATCCAGTGGACTTATCATCAGCTTTTTCAAGAAAAAGTAGTTATTATGCCTTTTTCCCAGCAATTAATGTTAATATAATGTTCTAGGGTCGGAGTAGTG